GGTACCCCGGCACTTCGGCAAAAATTGGCGCGCAGGGGCATTCCAGGCTCGACATCGATAGCTGGGCCAAGTACTGGTGTTTTAAATGCATCTAACCCGCATTTTCAGCCGGACATGTACGCATCTGGCTGCAGTTCTGTCCAGAAACTGGTATACTAAAAAGGTGCTAGTGTGAGTGTACCCTTTGTCTCACCTGAGGCTGGCGAGGCTCTTTCCTGTCTGCCGGTTTCACTATCCCGAGATGGGATGGCTTCCGATGAATCTGTTCCGAATGAAGCCCAGATCCGTGCCGTTCGATCAAAATTGCAGGCATATCAGGACTGAGCCCAAGATAGTGACTAAGGAGCAAGAGCGAGAGGCCTTGGATGACATGAGAATATGATGGAGCACAGCAGGGGCAAAGGCCGGAGGCTTGTCGCCCATTTGCATATATATACCAACCCCTGTTGTTTCTTAGGCTTGTCCTCCACACGCCTAAAGTGACGAATTCCTCAAAAGGAAATTGTAGCTCAGTGTCTTTGGCTTGTCCTCCACAGGCCTAAATTGAAAAAAAATCCTCAAAAGGAAATTGTGGCTCTACACCAAAACCCCCTTTTGGGGGTTTCCAGACGGCAGTGGCACTCCCACTGGAAAAGAAAAGACAGACTTGTCCCGCACATCGCAACTGGGCGCTGAAAAAAGAAAGTCGCCTACACTAAGCGCCAGAAGCACCCCACTCTTCTGCCCCGTTTTACGTTTGCGGGTCCTGTGCAGAGGCCGCCACCCTTGACCCTCCGGTCCAGGGTGGTCCCCCTAAAAGATGAATTCTTTGGAGTCGTGGGGAGCTGTAAAGTTGGTGCTGGCAAAGCCATTCTTTCTTCTCAAAAAAGACACGAAATGAGTCCGGCTGTGAAGCCCCTCACAAATTACGATCGCAAAGAAGGGGTACTTAGCTTAAACAGGGGGTGTGCTGGGAGTATTAACGTGGGGATGGGTAGGGTAGGTGGCCTATCCTATCAGGACAACCATTGGCTGCCGCTACCAGCAATCAGCGCGGGTCTGGTCCTTGGCCTCTACAACACCCTGGGCTTTCAAAAAAAAAAAAAAAAAAAAAAAAAAAAAAAAAAAAAAAAGGTTTAAAGTTTAAAGTTTAAACAAGGACTCGGGCATAGTTTGCTGATACCCATCTGCGTTGCGTGGCCGTAATAAACCAATCCATGTGGGCGTGTTTTTCATTTGTCGCCCCTCGGGGGCTGCCAGCCATTTGGGCCCAGTAGGCCAAGTCCTGAAGGACCCCCAAAATGGTACAAGGTTAAGGTACCTTAGGGGGACCGAATTTTCGCCCCTCCAGGGAAACATCCGTAGGCCATGGATTACCCCCAGTTTACCCATCATAATGGTCAGTCTGGTTCCAAGCTGGTGGTGGCCAGCATTAGCAAAAAAAAATTCCAGCTTCCATAGGATCTAAAAATAGTCCAAAAAAAAAAAAAAGACGTGACGAAGCGTTGTACTCCACAGACTTATCTAGAGGACTTTCGTAACTTAGGGCGTACTCACACTAGCAGTATCTCAAAATGTATCTGACCGCATTCACGCCATACCTGGATGCATCTGGCCATAGTTCCGTCCAGATATACGCGAAAACGTAGTAGTGTGAGTATGCCCTTATGCACGGGGCTTCATAGGCGAACATCCACTTTTCTTTCCGGATGAACAGTGCATCCGCTGTTCCTTTCGGAAAACCAACGGACGTGGCTGAGCGCAGATCCCCTTTCTTACGGCTGTCATAAAGCACAGAAATCTCCCAACATTCTAGGAGGGGGGGGCGGAGGGGGGGAGGGAAGGGAACAGGGAAAGAAACAAAAAACTGTCATAGGGGACGGTAATCTATCCTAAGCCGTCAAATCCAGATCAATTTAGGATCTGAACCTGCCACTAGCACACTTAGGGCCAGGCAACACTGGTGCTATGTTCATGCTTGAAAAACATGCACCTGACCCTACGAATGGCCAGGTTCATGCTTTCCTAGCACGAACATAGCGGCTGTGGTGCCTGCCCCTTTCACCTACTCCAGGATTATCAGAGACGTGAAATCTCACTGATCATTCACAGGCTCTTCAACCTGGGAAGATTCGGTTCTCTTCTCTGTTCAGCTTCCTCCTTTTGCCTTTTTTTCTCCTTTGCCTCCCTTCTTTTTTTTCTTTTTTCTTTTTTTCTGGAATCTTTGCCTTTTTTTGGATTCTTCAAGATCCATTTCTTTCCTTTCTGTCTGTTTGTTTCCCTATTTTTGACAAATGTTTGGCTTTTGTTTTTACCTGCTTCCTGTTTTTTCCTTGCATCTAGGGTGTGCTGTAAATACCCCATCCAC